ACCAACCATCGTCAAAGGATTTTATAGATATTTTAAAAGAATTAAAAAACTTGAATTTATTTTGTCTTAGTTTTGGATACAACGTCGCAAACATTTCATGCGTCAGTCTATCTCGTAATATTGGGTGCACCCAAAATTCTCTTTGCCTCTGCCGTCGTCTTTTATAGCGACGATAGAGGAGCCACACACAAGCAATCACTTCCACATCCATTTCCAAACCGAGCCAGTGCGCACGCTCCGCTAAACGCTCGTCAAACGAAGAGCTAACGCGCGTTAGCTCGGCGTTCGACGAGCGTTTAACGCGCGTTGAAAAACGCCTAGTGTGTACAGGGCCTTAGTGTTGTCCAGTGTTAATAAAATGTATATCAAATGAGACATTCTATCAGAATTCATTCAACTCGGTGGTACAGAGAGCTAATAGAAAATCAAGTGAAAACACTGAATAACGTTCTATTGATAATGGCATATTTTTTATCTCGAAAATGTTTTAAATAAATGTTATTTGATTTATAAATTGTTAATGTTATATATTCATTTAGGGAGCCCTTCCTGATTTAGAAAACATTATAATTGTGGTAGGAAAAAATTAAGTAAAAAGAGAGATAAATGCAGTTTGGCTTATCTTCACGTAATAATTCTTAAAACAAAAAATAATTCTAAATTATAAACAACATATTTAACAAAAAAAGGAAGCCAAAATCTAGATAGAAAAATATATTTGTGCTTTCGTAAAGTGAGATTTACAAGAATATTACGAATGTTCTAAGCAATTAAATTGTCACAACACATTCATCCTATTTTCTAATAGAGTTTCTTATTATTGGGTATATACTATTAAAAAATAGGATGAATATATGTCAATAAGCAAAATCAGACTCAGCAGTGAGAAATAGTTAAGAAAAATTTTCGTAATTTTCAAGAAATTTCTTAACTCTATGTCATTAGTTTAGCTGGTTAAAACATCTGGCACAATACCGAAGAATATGAATTTAGTTCCAGTCGGGATCAAGACATTTTTTTCTAAGTTTTAATTGGATAGATACGTTGTTAACTAAGAGTTTCAGTTTATAAATCACATAGTTTATGAACTATAAATCCCTTTATAATTTAGGAGTTTACTAGTTGTATAGACGAAATTATCAATATACTAAAATAGACATACATATACAAAAGTTATGTAAGAAGACTTTACACAAGACAATCTATAATTAGAAAAATTGCGTTTACGACAAAAACAACTTTTATCTTTATTTATTATGTATCTTGTAGCTTATAATAAGTACGAATTTTTTGATGTAACACTCCAGAACGAATCGCTTTTGATGGAAAATTATGTATAAAGTTTTCGCTTGCAAAGTTAGATATTGATTATATCTAAAATGTAAGAAGAAATACTTCTGATTAACAAAATCCAGTATTTTTTCCTATTAATTTAATATTAATAAACTAGAGAGGAATTTCATGAAAATGTTGACTAAATGAATTAATAATTGTTTAAGAATGTGATAAATAATTATGTTATAGTCTTCAAAAATTAGGTCTGTATTTAAAAACCAGATTAGTAAAAAGTAATATGAGTATAAAAAATTAAATTTATAACATAAAACTCATATATCAATAGTAGCGTAAATTGAATCATGAGATTCAAAAACATATCAAAATTCTAATATTGGATCTTCTTTCTTGCTAATTTCTTTCATAATTTAAAATTTTTAAAAACAAAAGTGAAAATTGTACATTAATTTTTTTAAATCATTGATCTGCCTCTTAACATATTAATTTTCTAATTTTATTTAAAAAATAATTTTCTTTTCTAACGAATTAAAGGTTAATTTTATCACATTCATAACTAAGAATATATTTAAAGAGGTTCAAAAGTTTTCATTATCAACTAAAAATATTTTATTTTTTGAAATCTGAAATTTAATCAGTACAAAAGATTTAAATAAACACAGTTACTTGTGTTTAATAGGATTAATGATTGAACTTCCGATAAACGGTTTAATGGTTTACCATTAATCAGGTAAAAAAAAAGTATCAATAAGCATACCAGTAATTTGATATTTTTTACCAGTAAATTTGATTTAAAAAATAGGTAAACACGTAATAATTCTTTAAAACTAAATATTTCTTTTATACATTTTTATGTATGTTTATATTTTTATATATTGAAGACAAATGTTATTATTTAAACCGTAAAGTTCTGTACGTCGCCATCTTAGTGCCTACAGGGCGAAAATTGTTAAAAAAAAAAAAAAGAGTTTACGTCATTTACCTTTCAGATTATTGTAAATAAGTGTACAGTAATAAAGTATTATATTATGTCACTACACTGAACAGTTTGACAATTTGTTTCTTATCCCGTAACACCTAAAGCGTAATAGCAACTTTACTTGACAAAACGGAACAAGTTTATTTGAATTTGAGCACTCGCACTGGCCGATTTTTAATTAATTAATCAAGCTAACTAAAAAATTAAAGCAATCTTTATTTTCAGGCGACGAGACTTTTACTTTTCAAAATAGAAAAAAATGGATTTCAATTGGTCCAGAGCACTAAAGATTGGTTGCCAACTCATGAGTGAATCTGTAATCAATCAATGTTGCGCTAATTTATGTATTTGCGGTCAAATTTTTAAATTTACCGGTTTACCTTTGAACAGAGCCGGCCCTACCATAGGGCGAACGGAGCAGCCGCTTCGTTCGCCCTATGGTAGGCCGCTCCTAGGGGTAAAGAAAATTAAAGGAAAAAATATTTTTTTCACTTTTCGATATTTTAATTCAAGTGTATGGCCAGTATGTGAATGGTCTTATGTGTTGAGACACGCATGGGTCGAGTGCGTGGGCGGAGTTCCACCTCCGGGCGCCATAATAGGATCGCGCTCCATCCTAAAACTTGCCTAGGGCCGGCACTGCTTTTGAAGCATAAGAAATTTATTAGTTAAATATCATAAATATAAATTTTGCGTGTTAAAACTAGAATTAAACAAACGTTTTTTTTTTGTAGCAAAATAGATGTTTTTTGCAATGACCTTAATTTTTATAATAAATTATATTTCAAATATTATATTATATCCATTGTTATATTATATTTATACTTTAAATATAGATTCAAAGCTTGAATACATACTGTATATAGGCCACTCACTCAATTGCGTGTATATTACGTTGCATAAATCAAAGCACGAACATTTTAACTAGATAAAGTATCAATACTAGAAAATATAATTTAGCATCAATGTAACAAGTAACATCCTGCATATAAAATAAGGTAGCTTTGTTCCATATTTGTATTTTTTGTGAATAAGTTTAAAAATTACTTTATATTAATTATTCACTTAGAATATATCAATATTATAGAATAAAAGTATTTTAAAATGAAACAAACATTGAATTTCTTGTGTAATAAACACAACAAATTATGATTTACAATTTAATTTATTGAAATATTATTACACAATAAATCACAAATACAGTATCTTACAAGACTGTAAATTTTTGTATAAATTTTACAATAAATTATTCTGTACTGTTAACAGCATTTGTTAAATTTTGTATGGAAACACTATAAAGATGAAAACAAAACAATATCCAAACTAAATACATTAGTTTTGTCCAATGTCAGGTTTTTATTTTCCTAAAAACATTTGAAAATATTTAAATTAAATGGTTTTGTCTTATGATATGTTCAACAGACATTCCTTTTAAATTTTCAATAGTGAATTAAATATTTGTATGAATCACAAGTATAGACAATAAATAAACAATATACATTAAATAATCAATTAAATGAAAATTATTATATACATAAATATTTACAAATATTTAAATATACAAAAACTATAAATTTTTATTTGTAATAACTAACTGTGATTCCTATAATACAGTTTTTCTTCTCCATTATCAGCTATCATTTTCAGTTTATAT